ATCTAAAATGGCATCCAGTCTAGTCGGTTCAGCAACTACTTGCTGAAGGAATCCATCAGCTATCGCATCTAGGAAAATCTGAGCCCTATTATTATTACTAGCACTCGTCCTCCAGTCTATATCTGGGAAGTTAAAGTCTCCCATGATCACACAGTTTCCATTAGTATTTACTTTATTAAAAACATTAAAAAGGGGTCTATCCATATCAGATCCCGGCGGTCTATAGCACACCCCAAGCACTATCCCAGGGGAGGCTCTAATAGTTTTCTTCCCCAATTTACTTTTTGCCCAGACGGACTCAGTCATATCCATTTAATCGCTTCTTATTTCTTTACATTCTATCTCATCATTGATATACAGTGCTACTCCACCACCTTTACCTTTATTTCGGTCTTTCCTAAACAGCACATACCCTTCAATACCTGTAGCCCAGTCATGACTACTGTTCCACCATGTTTCTGTTATCTCTATAATATCTGGTTTCACTTCCTGCACCAGTAGCTCTAGTTCCTCCATTTTGTTACCTAGGCTCCTCGCATTAGTGTACAAACATCTTAATTTTTGCTGTTCGGCCTCACTCACATTCTGTACCCTATTAGGCACGGTCATTTTGCTACCAGTATAACCTATTAGACTTGTATCTACACTGCCCTTCCTCCTACCCATGGCTGTATCCACTCTTACTTCATTTTCTTTCCTCTCAATGCTAAATTCTGGCACGGAGATTACCTGGACATCTTCCAGCCATCTCCCCCTAATTCCTATACCGTCCTAAGAGGCAGTTTGGTAGGAGGCTGGGAGTCAGAATGTGTGATCTTGGATAACCATTTTTGGGTATGAAAGGAGGGCCTAGATTCGGAGAGAAATTGCAAAAGGTGAGGATGTAAAGAATGATGTACCAGTTCCCAGAACCATCCAGTGACTTCAACTGGCATTTTTTGTTCGTTTTTTTTTTTTTTTGGGAGGCGGGAGGTAGAGCAAGCCTCTGAATATTTTGGAATGGTAAAGCTACTTTATTTTTTTTTACCCTTAGAAATGTAATTTTTTCTGCTATTAGCATTCCCTACATGATTTGCTTACATCGCTGTTCTTGATGCATTAAAATATGTGATTTCTGATTCTGAGTTAGAATGAATTAGAATTCTGAGTCATCATAGAGAAATATTGTCCATAATATTTCCATGTTTTCAGGCATAGACAATACAGAAGCGTTTTTCTATGATACACACCCAGAGAATAATAAATGACATTAAGTGTTTGCACCAATGGATATAGCGAAAAACCAAGTATTCAATGATAGATACAGAAGTTGTAGATACAGTCAGAAATCCTTTCAGAAGTACAGAATCTGGTGAAGTCCACAGTGAACTACAGGCAATAGAAGGGAGATGCATCAAATTACCCACAATGATCAGTGTGGTTCGTGACTGCACTTTGTTAGCTGGTAACTTAAATGTGTGAATTTATGAAGCCAGATTCTCTTGCATTGACTGTGTTATAGTATGTCATCAAATGATGTTGTTATATAAATAGTCTTCATAGGCTACAGGATTTTTTTTTCTTTTTAGCATACAAACAAGTTTTTAGTCTTTGAAGAAATTAGCTTTGTTATGCAATGGTCATTTGACAGAAGCTCAAAATATAATTTTAAAAATGCCTGTAACCATAATATGTACTTGTGCTTCGGGAACTTTATGTAGTGGTTATAGCAGAGGTCTGTGACTTAAGACACACTTCTGACCCAGCTAATCTATTCTTACTCTACCTGAGGCCACAGAATGGCAGATGATTCGGCCAAGAAACTTGTATAAGATGTATAATTTGTATAAGATGTTTAGCGATCTCTGCTCACAATCTGGAGAAAGAACAGGAGTAATAAAAGCAAAGAACAGTGATGAACTTCCAAACATTTGTAAGGAGCAAATCAAGAGATGTGATAAGCACTTTTGTATTTCTTAAAATGTCCAGAGCACAGTGTAAAATCTGAATACAGTTCTTTGTATTGAACTCGCTACTATTTGAATAAATTTCACACATTCAGTAGCAGAAACAAAAGCAATTATCTTATTGTTTCTATGGTCATAACTAAAACCAGGAATTAGTAACACTGAGGGGAAAATAGCATTAGAAATGTGGAAGAATTGTTCCAAAATCTAGGATAAATGTTAAGACTATAATAACTTTAGAGGAATAACATTTTTTTATAATTTTTCCATTTGAATTGGCTGCTACGAGTATATGTAGGCAGTGCCAAACTCTGTTATGTTACTGGGGTAAATCCAGGGCAACTCTCTTAGAGACATAACTGTTATACCCCACTGTAAATGAGAGCAGATTTTGGCTTTACGGTAGTATGCAAATAGTAAGTTTGATCTATTAGGTGTTTGTTATAATAATAATTATGAATATAATTTATTATTCATTTTATTATTAAGTCCCCCAAGGAGGCAAGGAAGTATTATTAAACTTAATTTTACAGATAGGGAAATTGAGACATAGAGACATTAAGTGACATGCCCAAGCTCACATTCAACTAGTAAATCTGTGACAAGGTTGAAGTTGAAACCTTTTCTACACAATTACATTACTGTTCACCAATACTGCTATGTACTACCACTATATATGTAGTGCTTTATTAAGAATTTTTAAATTCTGTATAAATGTGTTTTCCCAGAGGTTAGTTCTTTTCTAAAACTGACTCTATACATGGCATTAGCATGTATACATTAAAAGTTTTTCCTTTTCTTTTTTCTTTAAACAATAAGATTTGCTGAAGAGTACACACTGTGGAGTGCAAGAGTTGTGTGTTTTATGAAGGTTTATAGCTTTTATTTTCTCTTTTGTAGCAGCATAAAATCCCATTTGATTTGATGTGACAATAAAATGTTTGTTTAAAACAATACAGTAGGTAGAAGCTGCTCAGACAACTGCTTATCCTGTTTTCTGTTGATCTTTATGGAAAAATAAAGTGTATAGTTCATATTGCTGAACAGACAGTTCCGTTTAATGAGAAGGTATTATGTGTCTAGAGATTTGCTGACTGAAACCATGTTAAATAGATAAGTCTTTATGTCTTTTTAGCCTATATGCAACTTTAAAAACTCATTTTAGAATTAGGAAAATCTGAGGATTTCTTCCTGTATTTGCTTTAGTATTAATGACCTGAATTTGAAATTTTCAAGACATCTCTATTCAAACTAACAATTATGCATAGTTGCCTGTATGACTCTAGTATTTTAATACTCTTATCTCAGAGGAGAATCCAACAAAGATCCTTAAAATATGCAATAACCAGTTCACCCCATTTTCATTACTAGAAACTGTGTGTAGTATTTTATGAGCTAAGCTCTTCAAAATAGATTTGTTTCACCTGAAAATATTTTGGCTTCTCCATAAACTGAAGACCCAGACTGTGTTTGGCTTTTGTGCTTTTGGATGCAGATTGTGTCCTGCCTGTTACATGTTAACTCTTTAAAAACAGATTGTTTTTTTTTTTTAATTTACTCTTCACCATTTTAATTTGCTGCTAAAACTGTTACATGCAGTTGCTACCAAAATATAATTATGTATTGAGTGGGGAGCTATATTAATTTGCTCTTGATCAAATAGGACGTCTTCAGAAGATCCAGATGTGGATTTCCACAAATCATCATAAATTCTGTGTCTAATAAATATGTTAAGTATCCATAAGTATTCTACATATGTATTAAATAGGCATCTTTGGCTCAAGCTTAAAATCATTTGTATCAGTGTGTGTGCATGCAAATTTTTAAAACCTTTTTTTAGTGGGAATGTTATTTGTTGCAGTACCTCCTTGGACTGTTTTTTTTCTCAGCCCTGGTCTCCACTGGGGGCGGGGGAGGGATTGAGCTAAGTTACGCAACTTCAGCTACATGAATAACGTAGCTGAAGTCGACATACTTGGATCGACTTACCGTGGTGTCTTCACCGCAGTGAGTCGACTGCTGCCGCTCCCCCGTCGACTCTGCCTGCACCTCTCGCGGCGCTGGATTACAGGAGTCGACGAGAGAGCACTCGGGGATCGATCGCTGCCCGCCGATCCAGCGGGTAGTGAAGACATACCCTCACTTATCTCATTTTTAAGCCAGAGTAGACAAGTTCTCTACTTTATAAGGGGGACTTCCAAGGAAAACGTATACAATAAGGCTAAATTACAGTCTAAGTAATTGTGTGTTGCCTATCTAAAATCCCACTTCCTGTCATAACCTGTCATGTAGTCTTGGTGTGTATTCCTTAAGTGATTGCTGCATTTCATGCAAATTGACTGCATTTTATTGGAGTATGAAATTATTTTGGTATGTACAGTGAGTTAGGCAAGCAAGATTTGGCCAAGAGATTGTAAAAATCATGATAAAATGGCATTAAGAATGTTGATTATTAAATAATGCAGAAAATACCACAAGCTAATAATGCTAAGTACCTGACTTAAAATGGGGTTAAACATTAAGGGGTCTGTTGTTCTTTATATGAACATGCTTGTGTGGGGCACAAACTCAAGTGTGGGGGAGTGCTGAGCCTCATCACTCCGCTGGGAGCTCTGAGAAGCATTGTACAAAGCCCCTGAGAACCCTCCAGTGTGAAAAATAAATGACCACTGCTGTACAGCACTGTGTGGCATGCACTCCCTTCTGAGACTAACCAGCACTACTAAATTATGCAGGAGGGGTTAGTGGCATGTCTCCCCCCGGCCCCCCTTGCACCCACAATGAAGGATAATCTGGCCTTTAAAAGAAGAAAGTTGCATGAGCGGCACAAGACAAATATTGATCTTCTTTTATTAAACATTTATTTTAATCTATATAATTTAAATACAAGTCATACACATCCAAAACTAGAGATGCTTACTCCATACATGCTTCTAGAAGTCCTAACCGCTTTATTGTTACCAATTCCCAAGATGGTTTCGGTGACATCTGAACTTATTAAATTTTCAGAAGCACATGGAATTCATAATAGACAATTACATATTCTTTCTACAGGTGACAGCTACTTTGCGAAACTTGGTTGACTTACCTCTTTCAAGATGCCAGCTCCTAAGTAGCAGTGCAGTTTCAGAGCTCTGGGTGGTGCTGGAGCAGCGTATAAATGATAGGGATATATGTACCAATATTGTCAGGATATTCAGGTATGTATGCAACACTGTTTCGATCATCAAACCCCCCCAATCTCTTGAGCTCTGGTCCTGCACCCATTGAAGTCAATAGTATCATGGAGGTCTCTGGAAGTTACGGATTCCATGACTTCCATGATCTCCATGACATAAACGTAACCTTAACCCATGGCCTTACAAACATGGATTTATTTTCCCTTTTAAAAAAAATATTTTGTACCACTGTCATGTTAATCTCTGTGGGCCAAATTTAGATTTTATTGTTTAAGATGCCATTTCCTGTCCTTTAAAGAGAAAGAAATTGTTTTTATTGTTAGTAATTTATTTTAATATTTGTTTTTAAAAAGGACAAAAGTTGTCTTCTGGTGTTTACAGCTCAAACCTTACAGCAGGGATTGGATTTGCATATGCACAAAAATATGTGAGACACAGGGACATTATTACTTCAGCCATCACAGAACACTCTAGGAGATTAGGTGTCGGAGATCGGCCTTCTTTGTGCAGGTGAAGGACTTCTGGTTAGTTTCCCCAGAAGAATCTCATTGTTACCCAGGGAGTTCAATGGCCATTCCCCAAGAAGATGTGGTACTTGCTAGGGAAATCTGCCAGAGTGGGTCACCTCTAGGGTATGTCTCCACTGCAGAATAAGTCCATGGTTTGAACTCAGGTTCAAGCCTAACTCCCCTTCCGTCTTCGCACAAATCATGCTAACCCAGGACTTGGACGTAGGGCCCCAGGACCCCATGGGGATGAAGGTTCCAAATTTGAGTCAAGCTGGGACCAGGGACTCAAGTGCTGTTGCTTTGCAATGTAGACACAGCCACACTGAACTTGTGTTCTGGGAGTCTGCCAAAAGCTTCCCACAGTCCCATGGCCAACTTTCTTTGTCCTTTAGACAGACAAGTTTGTTGAACGATCAAGTTTTCCCACATTGCACCATGAACAAAGGCCTAGAGCAGTCACATTTTGGGAGGGCACTAGAAAGTGTGAAATATGGGTCTTTGGAATTGGGCTCGCATAATGCAGTGTAGATGCTGGGCTCCAGGGTTCAACAATGCCTAACCTAGGGTTACAAATGAGTGTAGACACTCTAGCCGTAGGTCAACAAACCAAGGGACCAAACTCAAGTTCCACTAATTCTGGGCTTACATTGCAGCGTAGACATATCCCTAGAAAGTATCTTGTTGTATGTATGAATAGCCCTTTGGGCCTCATCTTCACGAGGAAATGAAGATGTGCTCTTAACTCAAGTTAGGTAACTCTAGGTAAAATTCTAGTGAAGACAGTGTAGTTTGTATTTTTGACACAAGTTAGCAGGTAGAGTATAGTTTTCACACAAGCCAATGCCTTGTCTTTAGTAGGATTTTACCTCAAATTGAGAACCCTTCAGGGTGGGTCTTCACTACCCACCAGATCAGCAGGTAGTGATCGATCTATCGCATCTCATCTAGACGCAATAAATGAATCTCCGAGCGCGCTCCCTGTCGACTCCGGAACTCCAGCTCACGAGAGGTGGAAGCGGAGTCAATGGGGGAGCGGCAGCGGTCGACTTGCCTCCGTCGTCACAGCCAAGTAAGTCGACCTAAGATACGCTGACTTCAGCTGTGCCATTCACGTAGCTGAAGTTGCGTATCTTAGGTCAAACCTGCTCCTCCCGCCCCTCCGTGAAGACAAGGCATTGAAGAGTTCTCTGTGTCCCAGCATAAATCTGGGCAGGGTTGATTGCAATATTGCAAATGCTGAATGGGGTGGGTAAGTAATTTGAGAATTTTGCAAGAGCTGGATAATAAGGTGTTGAGGAATTTTCAGGGAGTGGAAAGGATGTAGGTACGAGTAATTCTGGGTTTAGTTTTGAATTAAAAGTTTGCCTTTGCCTCTGTGCTGCTGTTGACTGCAAGATTTACTGAAAAGCAATGTTTCCATTGGCTTAATTGCTCACTCCTATCCCCAACAACTATCCAGCCTCTGCTTTCTAGCTGGCAAAGGCACCAAGTCCTAAAGGGAGCATGCCACAGAGAGCAGCTGCTTCTAAGTTCTGCCCTGGTTTCCTTTTCAGCCTTTAAAACAGGCAGAGCTTGGTTCTTTATGGTTTGTGCAGGATGGTTTCCATAGGCTTCCTGGGCAGGGAAACCACAAAACACTTCTCAGCCCTAGTTCTGTATCAGTTTGCTCTTCTCTGTCTGTGTAATCTGGTCTCCAAAGATGAGTCAGTTCTGGGGTTTTGGTATGTTTTCTGTAGATTTACTTCTTCCAGGGAGAGGTTGTTTTCTTTGTAGCCTGGCAAGTTGCTAAGGCTGAGAAGACAGGAGCATTTCCTAGATTACATCTGTGATTCAGTATAGATCAGGGGTGGGCAAACTTTGTGGCCCGAGGGCCACATCTGGCTATAGAAATTGTATGGCGGGCAATGAATGTTCATGAAATTGGGGTTGGGGTGTGGGATGGGGAGAGGGCTCTGGCTGGGGTTGTGGGCTCCGGCTGGGGTTGTGGGCTCCGGAGTGGGGCCAGAAAAGAGGAGTTCACGGTGCGAGAGGGGGCTCCGGGCTGGGGTAGAGGGAGTGGAGTAGGTGTGTGGGGGGATGAGGGCTCCGGCTGGGAGTGCACGCTCTGGGGTGGGGCTGGGGATGAGGGGTTTGGGGTGCAGAAGGGTTCTCCGGGCTGGGATTGAGGGGTTCGGAGGGTGAGGGGGATCAGGACTGGGGCAGGGGGGTGGCGGCTAAGGGGTGCAGGCTTTAGGCAGTGCTTACCTGAAGTGGCTCCCAGAAGCAGCGGCATGTCCCCCCTCCAGCTCCTACACGAACGCACTGCCAGGCGGCTCTGCTGCATGCTGCCCCATCCGCAGGCACCACCCCTGCAGCTCCTATTGGCCTCAATTCCTGGCCAATGGGAGCTGCAGGGACAGTGCTTGGGGTGGGGGCAGTGTGCGGAGCAGAGCCCCCTGGCTGCCCCTAAGCATAGAAGCCGGTGGGGGACATGCCGCTGCTTCCAGGAGTCACGCAGAGCAGCCCCCGACCCAAGCGTCGGAGCGGGGCAAACCCCAGACCTCGCTCCCCAGCATGAGCTCGAGGGCTGGATTAAAACGGCTGGAGGGCCAGATGCGGCCCGCGGGCCATAGTTTGCCCATCCCTCGTACAGATGCAGAAATAGATTTGTCTTGTTTAGAGTATCTTAATTCTTCAGATATTTTCTTTAATTTGGTAATTACAGACCCTGATTCCTCTCCTATTATTTGGATGCTCTGATGGTACTAAACCGCTATAAAACCAAATTTACCAGCTACCTGGAAATTGCATAAGTAGCGTAGAATATAGAACTAAATGCTGTTCTTTGTTTCCTCTAACATTATTAGTCTTACCGTTTATCTTTTCCCAATCTGTAACATAAAATTTAGCTAGGTTCTTTGTATAGAATTCATGTTTTCAAATCTGTTTTGATTATTCACTTGTCTGGCCCATAAATATTATAACCTCTTGTAATCCTACTTGATTCTGCAGACATTTTCAGGTACAATATTAACTGGAAGTAAAGGCTTAGCCAGTTAACCATATAGCAGTGATAACTGTAGGCCAAAGTATGCCCTCGCTCCTCTTTGAATCGTTAAGGTGATGGGTACAGAGATATAGCAGCCTGAGGAGCTATAACATTGGGTCAGATGCAGGAAGAGAATGCCTTGAAGAGTGTTGGGAGGGTACTCCTCATCCCTGCTGGTTAAAGAATAGCACCGATGGAATTATATTGGGCACAAGCACGCATGCAGATGAAATGAGGTCCTGTTCTTGTCTCTACCTGGCATCCCATGCTGTCTTGAGACTAAAGGCCTCTGCTTAGTGCTTAAGGAATACTATTAGTGTTGGCATTCGTGCCTGGGCTAGGCACATGTGTTGAGGAAGGCTCCTCATGCCCTCTCCTGTCCCTCATTGTACTGGCACAGGAATAACTAGAATTTTGTTCATTGTTTGTGTCACACATACACAATAGTTGTTACTATATATTCATCGAAGTTCAGTGTCATTCTCTTATGTGACTGGCTGCCTGTATCTGTAGTAGAAGTACTAGTATTTCATTCTGTATGTTGGAAAAGGTTACTTTGAGACTCGAAAGTAGAATTAATATTTTTTTATTTTGCAGAAGAAATAAAATGCTGTAATTTATATATATTTTATTTTTGTACCTTTATAGCAAACTTTCATCCTACAATGACTGCTGTGCAGCTCTGGCAGACTGCTCCAGGTGTTATGTTTTATTTTTAGCCCTTCTAAACAAACACCAAAAGAAGCAGGTCAGTATTTTCATCTCCTGCTTTTTATATTTTAATCCTGTGTGTCTCTGTTATTGTATGTGTGTAAGCCCATTTTCAGTGACCTACTTTCATGCACATTTACAAGATGATAATTTAAAACAGTTGACAGCATTTCTATATTAAGGAAACGGAATCATTTAGATTAAGAGGGCAGCACAGAGGGCAGACAGTTGATTAATTTGTCTATCCTTAGCACACATATAAGCTATCCTCTGAATACTTATATTTTTTCCAAGGTTTTAAGTAGTAGTAATGTTTTTTAAAAAGCAAGTGGTTTATTGAATAACAAATTTTTTTCCATATTTAAAATTGCTTAACTTTAAGAAACCCCACATTTCAACTGTGGAAAAAGCTACAACTTCTTTTTATCAAATATCCAGACAAGCTATCAAAGGGTACATCTATACTGCAATAAAAAACCCCGAGACACTGAGTCTCAGACCTTAGGCTCACATCAATTGGTCTGAGGGGCTAAAAATTGCAGCATAGATGTTTCGGCTTGGGATGGAGCCTGGGCTCTGGGACCCTCCTGCCTTCCAGGGTTTCAGAACCAGGCCTCAGCCCAAGCCTGAACATCTACACTGACATTTTTAGCACCACAGTCAGAGCCCCTCAAGCCTGAATCAACTGACCTGAGCCAGCTGCAGCCATACCGGGGGTCTTTTATTACAATTTAACCTACCCCCAAGTATGGATTCTTATTATGCCTGAAAAATATATAGTGCCTTCTACCAAAGCAACACAAGATTATTTGTAACAGATAGCTAGAAATAAAAGTATTTGGGAATTTTCATATCCGAAAGGTTGGCTAGAATTATGAGTGTATCCTTTTTATATGTTATAATAAATAACTGGTTCTTAAGTAAGCACAAAATGTTTGTTGCCTGAGAATGCTGAGATTTTTAACCTGTCATAGTTCTACTTTTAATAAATGGTTCTCATCCCATAGATCAGCTTTATTTTTGCATGTTAAGCACCATCTCTTCTTTATCAAAATATCACTTAGTAAGCAAATTAACTGTTTATTAAAACACGTTTATTACTGTGTTGCGATGATTTTGTGTATGTATTCAGAATGATTTCTCCTTACAGTGATTCTTATGCACACACCCAGAGCTATTTGTACTAGTGTATTGCCGACAGACCCCGGTCATTGGGATCGAACCTGGGAACTCTGGAGCTAAAAACATGATCCTCTACTGCATGAGCTAAAAGTCATATAGCCCTTAGCTAAGGCTGTAACAGACTCATTAATCTCTGTAAGTGGTCTTGGTGCCACTCGAGGGGACAGAGCACCACACCCAGGGGGTGTGTGGGTTACAGTAAGTTACTGAAGGCCGATGCTGGCAGAGAGGGGGCCTGAATGATCTAACAGATCACTTTCCTCTCTAATATTTATAGTATTTTAAACATTAGAGCTGTGAGGATGCATGCAAGCTTTTGAAGTGCAGTTGGCATCACTACAATGTATAATACTGAGAGTTAGTGAATTTATAGATCAGCTTTTATCTGTTTAAAAAACAAACAAACCTCACAACCTAGCAAAAACTGTCTGGGAGGATGAGCAATGAGAGTATCAATGGATCAATCACAGTATTGCCAGTCCCAAGTATTCAAAATAATGAGGCAGGTCTCAAAAAAATCATAAAGATTGGCTTAAACGTGTGAGATTTTTTTAAAAAAAAACATATTCTTTGGGGTTTTTTTGTCTCTTGGTTTCTGGGGCTTTAGTATACACCTGGGTTGGGGTGTCAAGCTTTGCTCTGCAACCATGAGAGCTAGAAACTTACTTTAAAAAATAAAAAAGAATGGTGAGAGTCATTCTCAAACAAGTAATCAAATACTTTCAAGGAGCTGTGACTTTCAGAAAAACGCCAAATGTCATGATGATTTGGGATTAAAAATGTGAGAGCTGGAAACACCGCAGTTATTGAGCCTGCTGAGCAGCTTGTCCTTATCACTTGACTGCTCTGAGAAGATAGGGAGGGTTTGTTAGGAGAGTTAAATTGTCAAGATTCACATAACTGCATGTGTTGTCATCTCACATAAGAAGGGAAATATGTATGAGTTGGCAAGATGGATCTTCAGGCCTGAGCAAGGGAGCTCAGCGGTCCCATTTTTGGACACGTAACTGACCTGGTTCTCCTTGGTGCCTTCTCCACAGCTGTTTTTAGAGTTTGTTGGAGAGCCTTTGTTGGCTCTGTACCTCTCAAATGTCATGCACAATGGGCTGCCATGGATGCTTATCTTGGGATCCAATATCCTGTAATGTTGTGCCATGTGTACTTTCCCCAAGCTCCCAGCTGTCACTGGAATAGTGTTTGAGGCTGTTTCTCACCTTTTCTTCAGAGCTATTTGGAAAGGCAGTTGAGCACAGTTCCTCCTTTCAAGCTCCCCTACCTCTCACATGTACTTCTTGAGCTGCAGCTATGTGAAGCATAGCTTTCTCCTTCTGCTGAGCTTGCCGCTGATGGTGATGTCATTAGCCGCAGGGAGGCCCTCTTTTAAAACAGGAAGAAAGCATATAAATGAGGTGACGATTTCCATACAATGACGTGTGTGTGTAAATATAATTAGAGACTAATCTTGATCTTGCATATTCTCCACCCCACCCTTTTTTCCCCCCAGTTGAAATTATTGGATCGTCTTTACGAATAGTTTCAGGTTGGCCAAAACAGCATTTATTAGTAAACAAACTATACGTCCAAAAAAATTTGCACAGGTCTAGAGAGGCACTGTCACGGTTACCCGACTATCTGTCCCTGGACCCCTGACTGCTCTCTCTGAGTGCACCCCTCCAGATGCCAGGCCTCCTCCTTTCACCTTTCTCGGAGTAGAGTCTCTCAATTCTCCCACTCTTAGACCAGATCCCTGGGCTACAGTGTCCTGTGAGTACTTAGCAGGGCTGACTGTGATCAGACCCTACAGGTCTCTCCTTTGGGAATGTGACCAGTCGTTAATGCAAAGTGACCAGACAGCCTTCTCCAAATCAAGGTGTTGCTTAAGTTTAGCAGTAGGAACATAGCTCCCTGCAACAGAGAGAGGGTTTGAACACTCAAAGCTGGTTATAAGCCTGTTTCACTTACTACCTCCTGAATGGTAACCAAGTAGCCCAACTTAGTCAGACCCTCCTGCAGGGTCTGTCTTGTTTCCCTCTGCTCTGCTCTGCTTGAGCAACCCCTGACAACTACCCCACCCCAGATCTCTAGAATCACTTTTTAACTGTTTAGTGTCCTTTTGATTTTATGTTCCAGCCTTGGTAGGACAACTGTGGAACTCTTAGCTGGAGCCTCTAAGTGGGATCTTTACAGTTAAATACTCTGTCATAGCATCAGAGTTTAGGGACAGAAGGGACCGCCAGATCATCTAGTCTGACCTCCTGAATATCACAGGCCACCAACATCACCCAGCAGCCATACACTAAACCCAGCAACCAAAATTAGACCAAAGTATAACAGTGCTCAGGAGACTAGATTATTATATCGCATAGACAGAGAACAGGAGGGACTGAGGTGGACCAGTGCCCATGGTTCCACAATGGCAGGGAAATGATTAAGTCCTACATCTTGGCAGGGGGTTGTGGTCTTCCCTTGTGGTCTTCCAACCCTATGATTCTAAGTAAGAGGTACTCAGATAATCCTGGCAAGTGACCCCCACCCACACACTGCAGAGGAGGGTGAAAACCCTCCAAGGTCACTGCCAACCTGACCTGGGGGGAAATTCCTTTCCAGCCTTACACATGGTGATCTGTTAGATCCTGAGCATGTGAGCAAGAACCAGCAAGCCACGCATCTGAGAGAGAGACTGCTTGGTGCCACATCAGAGCCCTAACTCTGGCCCTCTCTGTCCAATGTCCCTGTCCCTCCCTGTCTTGTCTCCTGATGTATTTGTCAGGAGCTGACTTACCTGCATCCACTGTCTGGCCTTCCTGGCCATTTTTCTAACCGCCTGCTATTAAACTGAACCAACCTATGCATTCATCTCTCATTATAGCTACCTAGTACCTATTCCTTACAACAGACAACCTTATAAAATATATAGTATTCCTAGATTAATACAAGCAGTCCTATGTTTTTCATAAGGGTTACTAATGCCACAGCTGAATTTATAAAAGTGCCTATCCAATACCCTGAGACCACTATTGGCATCTCCTCTGCTTTGAGACATCTCAATCCTACAAGATATTGATAAAAAAAATCTTTTTCTGTTACTTTGTCTTCAGCTGTTGTTTTTTTCACTGATGAGTTTCAATAGATGTATATGGATTCTCTATTTTTAAAAATTATTTTGGGTTAACATAACTTTTTCTCCTTGATCCATATGTTTGATCATTTTAGGCTTTTTGTTTAAGCTCCCTTTTTTAATACAATAGTGACAGAGACCCTTCAAAAACATAAATTTATGTTACCCCTTCCCCCCACCCTCCCGGCATACGAGTCAATAAGTGATTATGATGGTTGGTCATTACAGAGCCAAGAACTCTTAAGATTTTCTCCTGACGGTGGTGTGTGTGTGTGAGTGTGTGTATATATATATATATATATATATATATATGTGTGTGTGTATATATATATAAAGTTCTAGAAATATAACAGATACAGTATGATAAATAACTCGTGCTTGATTCTCTCTTGTATTATTAATTTTTGCTTAGAGAAAAGATCTTCCTGGGACAAATGTTCTGAAAAAATCTCAAGGGGATTTTCATGGTGATTAATCTAAACAGCCACAGAGGGTCAGCCTTTCCCTACAGCATGATGGCTTATAACATGCCTGGCTAACAACATGCATAACTTCAAATTTTTAAATTGTGATGATAATTGTTTTTTCTCTAAAGAGATGTAATAGAAAGAGTCTAAATATATACTTTAGACCAGGGGTTCTCAACCTTTTTCTTTCTGACCGCCTCCCCCAGCATGCTATAAAAACTCCACTGCCCACCTGTGCCACAACAACTGTTTTTCTGCATATAAAAGCCA